CTAGTAAAGACCATGACAGACAGGGGAGGGAAATGGGCAGGGAATAAGTCATAGCACATGATATATTTGAGCAAAACTCATTATGAATCCCAAAGCTTAAAACAATGCTTATTTATAAGCTTATGAAACAATAGATGTATGAATCTAGATGGAAAGCTTAATAATTGGTACTTAATAGACTCATACAGCATCAAGTCCAATGTGGATGGGAGCTTACTCGTGCCTGTGTGTGTAAAATATAATTAAACAAATGCCGAAGAAAACTGACTCTAAACGTTCAAGTCTGGCATATCCTCGGTTTCTGGTTTCTCAAGTTGCTAGCTTACTGCCAAATAACAGTCAGACAGTCACAGTCTTTATGCCTGACATAACAGAGCCAAACCAGTGGGAAAGGCAAATTTGTAGAAGAGCAGTGTGAAGAAGTTTTGCTTCGCTTTCCCCTGTATCGAGGTACCTAGGAAGGCTTTCCAAGGCAATGTACTGACTGTTCCTCAGAATGAGTGACTTCAAAGCCAGTGTGCCGAATATGATTGTAAAAGGTAAGGAAAATAGTACAAATATATTATCAAGGAAAGTATCTTAAAGTTCTCTGGAACTCTGTTCCCAGGGAAGCATTTTTAGCTGGTTTAAAGGAAAATTCTCAGTAATGATTCCTTCTCCTCCATGGCACACCAAATCCCTGCCAAAATGAAGTTTGCTAATTATTTTGGGGCACATTCAAATGCTAATTCGTGTCTCAGACCAAAACTAAAAAAAAACTCACCTTTTATGATTTCATGTCAATGTGCTAAATGGAAAATAAAAGATTGTAAAAAGTCATGAAGGGCTTAATAGTCATGCATTTCCTCACTAAACAGATGTTTATCAATGGAAGATATAGGAACAGAGTTGTGATGTTCCTGCACAAAGGGATCGCTGGTTAAGAAAATATAAAAGTCTTTACTTTAACTACCTTTGCAAAAAGTACTTCACAAGATATTCTAATAAAAATGTTCTAAATTCTGAACAGATAAAAGCCAAACACCTTCTGGGAACTAGATGAAAGAAGACGTGATCAAATGAAGAGAAAACACTATTTGTGAAACATTCCCTGAACGTATGATGAGAGGGTGGCCATGACCGGCATTTCTTCAATTCTTTGTTACTAGAAGTTCTTGAATCTTTGAATATTTTCTACCAGAATGCTGCCTTTTGAACTGATTGTTACATGTATTTCATGCCTAGTGAAGAAGTAGAAGCATACATCCCAGGTTTGGCATGGGCTGCTAAACCAGAATATCCTCAGAAAGAGTATGCTGTCATAAATAACGAAATGAGAAACTGAACTGCATCAGAGGAAGAGTAAATCCTACTCTCCTGTGCAAGACAGGGATTGTATGAGAGAGAGAATCAGGGCAGGACAGTTGTCCATAGAGAAAAGGCAAAGCTTTCTTTTACCTGGTGAGAGAAACGAGAAGCTACTACACTAATATAGGTTTAAATAATAAGATATCATAATCAAATCTACAGAATTTTAAAGAAAGAAACCGACTTCTAAGTCTCTACTGGAGTGAACTACTTCACTGGCAACTACGTGAATGTAAATTGAAACAATGTAATATAGATTTGGAGGTACACACTCTTAGCTCCAACAACTCCAAAGGTTGAAGGTGGATAAGACAAAGCTAGCCCCTGTCAACTTGGAAATTATGACACCCTTTCTCTCTATAACACACACACACACGCACACACACACACACACACACACACACACACACACACACAATGAATGATTGAGATATGGTTTATTGTTAGGAATCAAATCTCTCAGTACAATTGACCATTATAAACAATACTTATATCTGATGATAGCAAATGAACAAAATAGGATATTTAGCAAACTTTCTCCCTAAAGATCATGGACCAAGTTACAAGAAAATACTTAAGATTGATAGAAGAAAAAACTCAGCTGTTAAAACTGAAACTAAAGAAAACTCCATCCAAGATTTGATTTACTAGGTTCAGGCAGATCTTCAAATAGGAAAAGAGCTGAATTTTATTATGGAAATGGGCTTAGAGAGAGGGTAAACACAGCATGGAGCTAATTCAGAAGCTACAGGATACGAAGCATGGGCAATACTATCTTTAAATAGACATACTCTGCTGACCTGGAGCTCAGTCCACAGAATGGATCCGAGAAGTGAAGGCCATGATAGAACATGCAAAGAGATTGCCAGAGTATTCAAAATATTTGAGAATCACATCCAGCCTCAGAATGAAAGTCTATATGATGATATATCTATAATAATAAAATAAATTAAAATTCTCCTTATCAGCTACATTCACTTCTGAAGACAAAGTTCTGATGGGGTCATAAGCTTGTTTGATTTTGGTATCTGTTCCTACCAGAGTGTTCTCTAAGAAAAATATTAGAAAATAAGTAGCTGCTACAAATATGTTTTGCTAAAAATACTTTATTGAAATCAAGTTTATTTGCAAATCAATTAATTCAAAATTTACCAAGTGTGTGCTTTAGAGGATAAAATGTTAAATGTTAAATATAATGTATTATAAATAAGAAAAAATAATATTCAGTAAGAGTGTACTCTATCATTTTCTCCAGCATTTCTTATTTAGAATGATTTCTTACACATGTTATTGCTCTTTTTTATTATTCTACAACATGCCTTAAGCATGTTATAAGTGTTAAGAAGCAATACTCATATGGAAACAGCACAAGAAGCAATTTTAGGAATTTTTGAACAATACAAGTCTTCATAAGTCACCATTTCCACACCTTTTCAACCTTCAAAGATCTTGACATTCTGAAACTAGTACTAGCAGACTAATAATTTGTTTGCTAGTTTGAAGTATCAAAATGCAGACCAAAAGACATATTTGAAAAAGCTATAAAATCAAATCCAAATCCAAGCTAGCTGCCCATATTTTCTATATGATATTATCCAGCTTAAAAACAGTCGTAGTTCCGTTTGCACAGATAACAATTTATCATGATCGATAAAACCTTAAGATCTGTTTTTGTGCTACATTCGTTTATTTTTTTTCCAAATAACAAAACAAACCAGAAAACAAACATGAAGTTTAGATTCCTGGGTCTGTTTTTACCCTTTAATTTTGTATAACAGTCTTAAGTTCTCAGTTAAAGTTTTATCTATTTTAAACCAGAATGGCTCTATCTCTTCTGCTAAATGGGAGATGAGTTCTGTATGTGAAGAAGAAATCTGTAATTACTTGAAAACTGTAACAATGTCCAACACATTCATACAAATTTGTGACACAAGCCATTTTGATCTGTCTTGGTTGATTATTTATTTTTTTTTAAAAAAGAACATTTTGAAATATATTTCTAAAGTATTTTCTAAAAAGGCAATGCTGTTTTTTATGTAATTTCAGATAAAAGGCACCTACAAATAATGGTTGAAAAATTGTGAAAATAATGTCTGAAAGAGAGGTAATGGTGAAAATGTAACCAACCAGATTTCCGTCAGTTCATTATTTTAGCTTATGTAGTGGGACAGAGATTTTCTGTAATTATATATGCATGGAATATTCAAACTTCATTATCAACTTACAAATTGTCATAGTAAATGCAGAGCATATAATATTCAGTGGCAGCTGTGCTATGAGAAGTTGCTAAAATGTACAGTTTACAGTCATGAGAAAGGCCAGCCAACCGTGTCCAGATTTCTGTCCACACAATCATTAAATTACTTCTTCAAATTTAAACCCTTCTTTAAAAATTAAAAGTGACTACATAATTACATGACTTACACCAAAGTTCACTAAAAACAATTTGCTCTAAATAAAATAATTAGAGTGCATTTTTTCCTCAGTGCAAAATAAATATGCTAATTCAGCATTTCATGAATGGCCTAACAAAAGTATTCTCTATTTGGATAGATATTTTAATTTGCTTAATAAATCAAATATAGTAAGTTACAAAAGCATGCTTACAATGTTATGATGTGCAATTTTTTTGTGTTCTGTGGATTTATAAAATAATGTTTGATTTAATGGTTATCAAAGAAGAAATCAATACTTTCAGAAAACATTAATTGTAGAGAAAAAAAAGTACTGAAATTACCTTGGGGACAATCTTGCATAGCTATGAAATCTCCTGCTTATTTGAACACTCTTTATGTTATTTCTGGAGACAAATACATTTGTATTAAATGAGGTAATCTAAATGTGGCAAAAAGCTGGTTCCTTGGTTGAAATTCAATTTCTGCCTGAACCCATGTGTGAAATATGCTTGAAACACCATTCTTCATTGCTAGCTGACCAAATTACCATTTCTAATCAACAAATAGTATTTATTCTACCCTAGACTTTTTTCTTCCTGGTTGTATATAACATTTCTTATTTATGTTTTATGATGGCACTATTTTCTCTAAATTAGAATATAATTGGACACATTTTAAAATTCTCATGCAGAGCAATCCGGGTATATGCAAATAAGATGCATTCGCATGTAGAAGACAGGGCAGGTACTGTGCATATGTTGTAATCACATGACTTCAGTTTTTTCAATTGCAGATTTATTGGAAAATAATAAAAACTATTGATTGCTTTAATTAAATTCAACACTGTTATTCGTTCACCTCTTGGCAAAAGCCTATTAGTTTTCAATGTATTTGAAATAAATACTACAGTCAGTTAATTGACAATTATCAAAATAAGTTTCTTGCTTTGTTCTTTTACTGAAATTCTACCTTTGCCATCACATTGTGAACTATGTTGCAGTGAAAAATGTCAATTATACGCACGGTGACCCTTCAGGAAACAATGAAGTCAGTCTTAGAGTAACCATTGCATTTTGTACTTCTAGTCAGAGACCTACTAAACCTGTATGTGTGATCAAATGCAAGCATATATCAAAAGTACTCTTATTCACACATGCAGCCCTAGGCTAGGCTAGGCTAGACAGAGAGATGAGAATCCCACACACTTGTCTCTACCGGGAATTCTTAAAGGGCAATGCGCAAAATTGAAAGACTTACTATGGAAGGATTGAAGAATGTTAATTATTCTTTCATCTGTTAATCTTCCTGATTTTGTCATCTGGCCACATTTGAGTTGATTGGAAGACTCCCTTGATTCAATCCAGCAAATCCTGTCTTCATTATAAATAAAATCTATAGTATGAATTTCATTTCTGTCGGCTGAGCTTAGAGTTGTCATCTTACTCCCGTTGATGTGGAAGACCTCAATTGTCTCAGGACTTGCAATGAGTAGCATTGGTGGACTATCTGTAGGTTCTAGAATAAAATGCAGAAAGATGTGTTAAAGAAGAGATAATTGACTTTGTCTTTTCTTATTGAATGGTGCATTATCAACAAAAAGTTACACCTGTACTTGTAAAATATGATAAAACTTGTAAACATTGGAGTAGAAAGAATGCTTGCATGAACACCTTTTTAATAAGCTACACACACGCCTCAGTGCATGGGTCGTTTCAGTCTCTGGGAAAATGCATTTGGCAGAGCACTTGCTTCTGTTATTCCCTAAATCATAATGCGTGGTGTTAATGTGAAAGCAATCCTATTTACTTTTATCAATGGTAAATAAAGAAAGGGCTGTGCTGTGAGATTGGTTTGTTTGTTTTTAATTGTTGTTACGGCTGTTGTTCGGTTTCAGCAACAATGATGTATCAGGATGAGTCTGCGGTATAGTTTCTGAGTTTCCTTTGTGAGCAAGGGCATGTATTTGTAACATAAGTGTAAAAGGGCAGAAATAGACTCTCTGGAGTAGAACACAGAAAACTCAGGCTCTCAACAATATGAATCTGTCACCTTGGCCCCTGTGATTCCAGACTGACTGAAGAGCCAAACAACCAATTCCAGATGTAAAACGAACCTCAATGGAGACCATGCTTTTATGCCATACAGTTTTGGTGATGGCGGGATTTATGTGCTTTTGATAGGCATCCTGAAATTGTCCAGACGTTCAGAGATAGTAATAAATTCCTCATGAAAACTACTGTTCCCGGAGCTTGTTTACATGACCCCACTGGTTTTGATGGTTAAGAGATAAAGAACACAGAATTTGTCATTTCACGTCTTAGGATGAGACCTAGTCAATGCATCACTAAATCTTTTTGGCCTTGATGCCTAATATAGAAGGAAGTGCATTCCCAGTCTCACATTAGCTACTAGCAGCACATCCTGTGTCAGGCTGTCAGCAACTATCTTCTGAGGTAATCCATTGGCCTTTCGGCTGTTTTCCTTCCTTCAATTGGTGCCTCCTCTTAGTGCATTCCAACACACCAGCCAGAATTATGCCAGAAAAACACAGTGTAGATAACACCAATTTCTGTTTGATTCCCCTCCCCTGCCCACAAAAGCTCACTCCACACAGAACAAAATTATGATCAGTAACAGGTCTTAAGAGCTTTCCTGAGATGTCTTCTCATTCCTAGTATTATGAGTCCTTGTCATCATGTTCTAGAAAGGTTACACTGTGTGTGGTGTGTTAACACAGGCTCCTTCCTTGAATACTGTTTTTTTTAATATACATTGACTGGATTCTTACCTCATTATGGCCACTATTTAGAGGTTGCTTTGCTGATGAGGACTTATGTCACAACTTATAAAGTTGCAAGTCTCTTTATCCATTCCTTTTTTAAAAATACTTCTTTCTTATCACCCCAACAGCATATATATTTTCCTTTTTACTTATTTACATACCTTAGTTATTTTCTTTCTAGCATCCAGGAAAAAGGCTGAATAACACAGTACTCAGATAAACAAAAGTAATGGAATTTTTATACTTCAGGATACTTAGAAACTCTATGTGAATCTTCAAAAGAAATTTATAGAACATATAAATACATTTTAGTCTATGAAAAAAATCAAGAAAAAGATTGAACATGAAAAAGTCATAAGCACCAAGTGGTCCTTCTGAGCACTTTGAAGTTGGAAAAAAAATGCTTCTATCATATGTTGATCATTTAATTACATAAATCCAAGCTTCCAATCAGTACTATTTAGTGGCCCTTGTTAATAATGGTGAGAAAAGGAAATGAATACCTTCAGCAAAGAGAGATCTCTCCTGAAGCTGGTGTCCTCTCTCACAATGTTAAAAAGACCAATTTCAGAATTCAGTTCAAGGCATTTCAGTAAGTACTGACCGATCATCCTTTCTCTTAAGAAATTCTCAGTATAACCGTAGGCTTAGTTTTAAGTTTGAAAAAACTCAAAACCTTGGCAAAATGAGATAAACAATGCAAAGAACAAAATGCCCATTGACATTATAAAACTGAATAGCCCAATATGGAGTATGTGAAATACTTGACTGTAAACCAACAAATAAGAAGTCTCAAAACAACGAGATAAATTTCTACAACAAAGAAATATCCCAGGAACCTAAGGCAAGTGGTACAGCATCTCTGTCTAGTGTAATCTTTTCTGCAGAACATATCTAAGCCCTGTTAGGTGTTGGAGCTTTCTGAAAAATCTCTTAATTCTACATTAAGACTATGTTACGCTTGCCCTCTATGTTCAGAATTCACACATGGTCTTTCTTTAATACTCCTGGATTGATCCTTTTCTGTGTGACCTTGGAATCTGTGAAACCTGTGAGATTATAGATTTCTCAGTTTAGAGAGTCTGAGATGTCTTTGTTATCAGATTTACAAAGCTATGCCCACAGTAATGTCAGTGCTTATTGCCTTCCTGCGACATTTGAAATGAACTTAGAGAATTTGCCTCACCCTCAAAATGAGTTTCTATGGAAAGCTTTGCTGGAAAGATTTATGCAAATCTTTGATTTTGGCAACCACTTCTTAATTAGTTCAAAATTTGAAGGAATGATTAAACTCCTCTGAAATTTGTCTACATAGGATCATGTACTTGACATATATATTATATATGTTTAAATTTTTAGAGTTGATTTTAAAATTACGAGGTGACAGATGATTTTAATGAACAATGCATATCACAAATTTTAATGCTTTCTCCTAAGGTAACAGAAAACACAAAACAGACAGCTAAGTGATCTATAATCTGACATGGCTTGAATAGCTTGGCCTTAAAAATACAATTAGCATTCTGGAGGAAGGATTCTTAGAATGTTAATTATGAAATGCTTTAAATAGGCTTTATATATCCGGCTGACTACTAACTGCATCCTTTGGACCAATGATTATAATACCTTGTGTAATGAGAAAAGCCCCTGGAATACAGGAATGTTGAATCTCATTGAGATTTAAGGCAAGAACTTAGACTGACTTAATAATAGGAGCCAGCACTGACCTATAAAGACTACTGTGTGAGTCCACCTGCACTGCTTCTGATCTCCACAGCTAACTGAAGAGCTGCACTAATGAAGATGAAAGGCTGCCCAGAATAATGTGATGCCATTCCTCTGTGCCATTCTTAGACTCAATTGAAAGTTTTCTCAAAGGAGCAGTAGGAAAACACTTTTGATGAATTCCATCACAGAGATACCCAAATCAAAGTTTAGTGAGATGTAATAAACATTAACCTTTCACACAGAGGAGATTGAAACTCAAAAAAGCACCGGGAGTCAACACTCCACCTTAGAGAAGGGAGCCAGATTGAATCAACCCCTCCACTGGGCTGTCAAACACATTCAGGAGAGTAATGCCACTAAAGGAAAAAGGAAATAGGGCTGGGCTGGAAACATTGCTCAGGAGCAGAGCAGTTCAAACTGCTGCAGTTCCTCGAGTCTGACCTCCAGCTCTGCCTCTTGCCCCACAGAAGTTAAAATATATGGTGAGAATGTTTCCTTTCTAAAATATAATGATCTCATTAATCTCTCTCTTCCCCTTAAGTTTAATTATTATGAAGCAAAAATAATAAGGATATATTATCATTCATTTGTAAAGTTATAATTCCACACAAATTAAGTCAAGAAAATCCAATAAAAGCAATAGTAGGCTGAGCAAGAAACATTCTATCATTTATCTAAATTATACTTTATTTCACTAAATCTTTACTTTCACAATGCAATGATTCTGAACTGATCTCTGTGTAAATATGCTTTATTCAGTTAACTAATTTATTTAGTATTTATAGGTATTAAGTAATCAAAGACAAAAGAAGACATCAGTACAAGGGTAAACTTCCAGGAAAGATTTAAACTGTTAGATTAAAGTGTGTCCTCAAGTATCTACACTTTTATAATGAGGTTGAAAGTTTTCATTAAAGATGGCCAGTGTCATGGATGCTAAAAATGTTGCTAATTCATTTTTTTAAAGTGATCTTTAAAATACCCAAATATTAATGGCATTTCATTTTATTCTTGGGTTAACTGAAATACAGGAATTTGATGAGAACTACTAATAAAGGAAAAGGACTTATTTTAGAAAAAATATCTATAAGAAAAGAGTAAATGAATGAGGAACATGATGTTGGAGAGAAAATGACTGCAGTCCTTTTAGTTTTCTGAAGGCAAAGTGCAACTGACTGACTGACTGATGAATTTCACAATGATAGGTGGAAGAGTTGACATTAAAGAGAATATATCAGGATTCAGACAAGGTAATACATGTACCTATTTTCTAGCAACGTGCATATTAATGACTGTGAGTTAGATGCTAATATTATCCACATAATGCATATTAGAAAATAAAATGTTCAGATGTTAAGTAACTTATAGTCATACAGCTAGTGTGTTAGAACTGAATTCAAAATCCCATTTTTTTTAGAAATTTATATAATAACATTAAGGAAGTAGAATGTCTTATGAAATCTTAGGGTGATAGACAGCTTTAATTTGAGATTCAGTGCAAAGCCAGTGTTAATTACATGTGGGTTATTATGTGAGCAAAACTGTGCTTTAGTAAGATAAAGTCAGAAATTGTATGCAGTGTGTGATATTTTATTTGTGCTCTAACAAATTAAGCTTACCCAAAGATCAGAGGAAATAAGCAATGAAAATGAAAGAAGTAAAGGAATTTTTAAAAACCTTGGATTATAGGCATAGACAAGGAAGAAGATTTCTATGACAATCTCATAGGTCAAATCTTCAATAAAATCAAAGACATTTAAAAAAATGTCTCACACTAAGGAAAGATACACCCATACAGATATAAAAAATACACAGAGCACCAAATATATAAGATTGAGAAAAAAAGCTCTTCTCAGCATATTATAGTTAAAATACTAAGTAAACAGAAGGAGGAAAGAGTATTGAAGGCTGCAAGAGACAAGAAAATGTCACATATAAAGGAAAATCCATCAGAATAACAGCTGATTTCTCAGTGGAAAACTTGAAGCCCAGTATGTCCTTTAGC